CTGAGTAAAACAATACCCCCAATGTATGTCTTTGACACTATTTGGTGACGCTACAGTGCCATAAAGGAGACCTGACCATTTCAGTTTTTAGAGTAGAATTTTGAGAGACGGATTTGCAGGGCTTATGTTTCTGTTTGGGCCATTATAGCAGTTTGACTGTTTCAATAACCACAAAAAGGCCTACCATTTGTAAAAGTAGACACTCCAGGGTATCTCATGTGGCATATATTGTGCCTTAACATGTCTCCATTTTTTCACCATTATATGTCAAAGTTTGTGGTAAAAAATATTTTTCGCATTTTTTCCTTAAGCATTACATTTGTGCTGGGCATTTTGTATATTTGATATGTTCCACTATGATCAAACACCCCTAATTATGCTCAGCTAAGTCTTCTGAGTAAAACAATAACCCCAATGTATGTCTTTGACACTATTTGGTGTCACTACAGTGCCATAAAGGAGACCTGACCATTTCAGTTTTTAGAGTAGAATTTTGAGAGACGGATTTGCAGGGCTTATGTTTCAGTTTGGGCCATAATAGCAGTTTGACTGTTTCAAAAACCGCAAAAAGGCCTACCATTTGTGAAAGTAGACACTCCAGGGTATCTCATATGGCATATATTGTGCCTTTACATGTCGCCATTTTTTCACCATTATATGTCAACGTTTGTGGTAAAAAAATATTTTTGCATTTTTTCCTTAAGCATTACATTTGTGCTGAGCATTTTGTATATTTGATATGTTCCACTATGATCAAACACCCCTAATTATGCTCAGCTAAGTCTTCTGAGTAAAACAATACCCCCAATGTATGTCTTTGACACTATTTGGTGACGCTACAGTGCCATAAAGGAGACATGACCATTTCAGTTTTTAGAGTAGAATTTTGAGAGACGGATTTGCAGGGCTTATGTTTCAGTTTGGGCCATTATAGCAGTTTGACAGTTTCAAAAACCGCAAAAAGGCCTACCATTTGTGAAAGTAGACACTCCAGGGTATCTCATATGGCATATATTGTGCCTTAATATGTCGCCATTTTTTCGCCATTATATGTCAAAGTTTGTGGTAAAAAAATATTTTCACATTTTTTCCTTAAGCATTACATTTGTGCTGGGCATTTTGTATATTTGATATGTTCCACTATGATCAAACACCCCTAATTATGCTCAGCTAAGTCTTCTGAGTAAAACAATACCCCCAATGTATGTCTTTGACACTATTTGGTGACGCTACAGTGCCATAAAGGAGACATGACCATTTCAGTTTTTAGAGTAGAATTTTGAGAGACGGATTTGCAGGGCTTATGTTTCAGTTTGGGCCATTATAGCAGTTTGACAGTTTCAAAAACCGCAAAAAGGCCTACCATTTGTGAAAGTAGACACTCCAGGGTATCTCATATGGCATATATTGTGCCTTAATATGTCACCATTTTTTCGCCATTATATGTCAAAGTTTGTGGTAAAAAAATATTTTCACATTTTTTCCTTAAGCATTACATTTGTGCTGGGCATTTTGTATATTTGATATGTTCCACTATGATCAAACACCCCTAATTATGCTCAGCTAAGTCTTCTTGAGTAAAACAATACCCCCAATGTATGTCTTTGACACTATTTGGTGACACTACAGTGCCATAAAGGAGACATGACCATTTCAGTTTTTAGAGTAGAATTTTGAGAGACGGATTTGCAGGGCTTATGTTTCAGTTTGGGCCATTATAGCAGTTTGACTGTTTCAAAAACCGCAAAAAGGCCTACCATTTGTGAAAGTAGACACTCCAGGGTATCTCATATGGCATATATTGTGCCTTAATATGTCGCCATTTTTTCGCCATTATATGTCAAAGTTTGTGGTAAAAAAATATTTTCACATTTTTTCCTTAAGCATTACATTTGTGCTGGGCATTTTGTATATTTGATATGTTCCAATATGATCAAACACCCCTAATTATGCTGAGCTATCTCCTGTGAGAAAAACGATACCCCCAATGTATGCCTTTAGTCGTATTTCCTGACGCTACACTGCCATATAGGAGACCTGACCATTTCAGTTTTTACAGAATTTTATAGGTTTATGACTCATTTTGGGTTCTAATAGCAGGTTGCTTATTCAAACTTTCCCCACAAAGGCCTACCATTTTTTAAAGTAGACACCCCAGGGTATTTCAAAATGCCCATTTTGAACCTTAGGGTGGAATCATTTTTTCGCTAGTGAGTACCAAGTCTAGTAGTAGTAAGCATTTTCTCTGCCTTTTTGACACACACTGAGATTTTACTGCATAGTTTACAATCCTTAGGTGTGCTATGGCAGTATAACGCTTCATATGTCACTCAGCTATGTCGTCTGAGTACAGCAATACCCC